TTTTTATTGATTTTATTTTTTTAATACATGACAGCAGAATGCATTACAAATCTTCTTACACATATAGAGCACAATTTTTCATATCTTTGTATATAAAGTATGTTCACACCAATTCATGCCTTTATACGTGTACTTTTTTGCATTACAATTCTTATTAACCCATATATACCACAATTTTTCATATCTCTGTATATAAAGTATGTTGACACCCAATTTGAGTCTTCATACATGTGCTTTGGATAATGATGTCCATCACATTCCACCATCCTTGCTAATCCTTTTTATTTTGTTAAAATTATTATTTTATCTTATTACTAAATGCATGCTAAGACACTAAAGAGAGTGACATATAAGTGCCATGATTAAAAGATATACAAGGTGCTATAAGAAGATAAATGTTATTTATAAAGGTTGGTTCCTGAAGGAACTGAAATTTGAACCAAGACTAGAAAGTGTGGTGTGTTTAGAATTCAGGGTATAGGTAATGAAGTCTTGATTTACTGAATTTTAACAAATCATAATATATAACTATAGGATTATAAGGGTTTTTAACAAATAATATAGTTCAACATCTCATTTTACTTTCAAGAAAACTGAACCCTTTAATATATGTGCCCAGCATTTTAACAGGAGAATGACTATGATACAAGGTGAGGTCATTCTTAAAGAACTGAACACCACTGTGTTGAAGAAGAAAAGGAGCTGAATGTAGCCATGTTATAACTACTCACCTTAGAAAACCTCCAACCTTCTTAGTATGAAAGATGTCTATAATCTGCTATCCCAAATATATAACTTAGAGAAACCACCTTCAGATAATTTGAATGGTGTCCATAGACAAAAAAATGTTAAAAATCTGTAAAGTGCCTCTGCATACTCTATAGGTTCATCAAAGAACACTGGTGATAAAACTGTTTAAGACATGCATAAACACAGTCAACTCATCAATTCACCCAATTCTTTCCTCTTCTTTCAATTTAGCTTGTTCATTAAATTAAAAAAATCGCAATGTAACAGCTGTTAAATGAAACTATTCTTTTAAATCCTCTGCAGATATTTTGTTAAACTTTGGGAAAAGCTTTATTATTATTAAGTAGCAAATTAACCATGGGACAATAGTAGAAATAGGTCTACCAAAAAGCCAAGAAAAATGAAATGCCAATATATAAAATACTGTTTCTTTGATGTCTGCCCCATTGTTGCATACAAATCTTTTGCAAGCTAGTTCCCATTTTGCATTTCAAGAGACAATGACTTCTGGGGAGGTACTATAATTTTTCTGTGTAACATTCTACACGAAATAGGGGTACTACCATCTTAGACTTTAGAAACTTCACATTTCTGGCATGTAACATATATAAAAGCAAAAGTCTAATTATAAAAATCTTTGACAACTTTGAAAAAAAATAAAAGTACATTACTTAATTAAAAAAATTTACTACATATTTCTTTAAAATAGCAAACAATAATTTATAAAAATCTGATTAATGTAATTTTTCAGGAACATGTATTATATAGACAAAATTCATATTTTTTGAATGTCTGTTGTAATAAGATTTGAACTCCAATTACAAAATAGTGCAAGAGACTTGAAAATGAAAATGACTAACATATGTATGCTAAAATGAGAATTTAAACACAAGGGAAAGCAAATCAAAATTCCAGTGACTTGTGCATACATAAAAACTGAAAAGAATTGCTGGGCACAGTGGTGCACGCCTGTAATCCCAGCAGCTCAGGAGGCTGAGGCAGGAAGATCGTGAGTTCAAAGCCAGCCTCAGCAAAATCAAGGTGCTAAGCAACTCAGTGAGAACTTGTCTCTAAATAAAATACAAAATAGGGCTGGGGATGTGGCTTACTGGTCTAGTGCCCCTGAGTTCAATCTCTGGCACCTTCCCACACGCCAAAAATAGAATATACAAATTATTAATAGTGGCTACACCTTGGGATGAAGTGGGGACTTTCTTTTTGTTTTATACATATCCCTATTGTTTGCTTTATAAGAAATATGTACTACTTTTATTAATTTAAAATACTTTCTTAAAACTGTTTTGGTATTTTTTTGTAAGCAAATAAGTACAAAAGGACAGTGGTTCTCCACTAAGACTACATCAGAATCCTATAGACAGCAGTAATACACTGTATACTTAAAAATCTGTAAAGTGGTAGAACTCATACTTAGTGTTCCTGCCAAAATAATTTTTGTATTTTTAAAAAGGAGTGCAACAGAGTCAACTAAAGAGTGTTTTTGAAAGAAAATATGCAGATGCTTGAGTCCCACTGCAGAATACCAAGTTAGAAAGGTTTGGGAATTATCAATCTAGGTTACCTTTAAAGCTCTTTCCAAAACTAAAATTATACGTACAAATATTCTGTACAGATTCAGAGTCTAACCACCAACAGCTACATACACAGAGTTTAAAAACATCATTTCTCTAAGAATGTCCTGTTCCCCAGCGCTACACTCATTATTGACCTATAGAAACTAATAGGAAATAAGCTGATTTAAAACACATACAACTTTAACTGAAAGCATTTTTCCTTAGGGCTATTTTGACACAAACCCATTATTTTTTGTGACTACTGAGACAGGAATTTGGGAACTGGCTCTAAGATAAACACCAGTTATTGCAGAGGTAAAAGGGAAGCGGGGAGGGACATGGCTGTATATTATTGGACTAATTCTCTAACCCCAAACAATAATAAATGAACTTTCCTAGTGAGTCAGGTAAGTGTTAGCACTTTTCCTAACCTGGCACTTCATCTATACTGGTGGTTCTTGGTTCTACTAAATCCAATGCCCTTTTGTTATATAAAAAAGTCTATATACACACAATTATTTTAATTTCTCCTTTTATATCCTAAAATGAAATTCGTGGGTATTTAAAATAATTTCAAACATACTAATAAAATATTCTAACAGCAATATAAAGGAAAAATAAAATGAAAATAATTTGTATTTCTCAATATGTATATGTTTAAGCATGACTATCAAAAGATGATGAAATAGATGCTCACATCTACTTATAAGTGATACATTCAAATTTAAGAGAGGTAGGATAAAAAACTATCTTACGCAACAAGTAAACAAAAATGAAGTATAGCAAGTGATTTCTGGAAAAGGTTCCAAACCATATGAAGTACAATTATCTCTTGATGTATGAAGGTGCATTTCTAGGAAATTTAGTATTTATTAAAATGTATGAAATACTTTTGTGTTCATAAATAAAACAAGCTTAGGCATAGAAAACTACATAAAGGTTTTCCCCCTTCACAAATATTCCATACATAGAACATTCAAAAGCTATGAAGGAACTTCACAGCTCTTTGCTACATAGGATGTTCTGTGCTTTACATTTTTGGCTACTGCCCAATAATTCCCTGTGAAAAACTCAATGCTCCACACAATTCCAAAGTGCCTCCTAGAGGTTAGCACCACTTATTTCGGAGCCATTGGTTTATAAATAAGTGAATTTAGTATTTAATAAGTTTCAGTACCTATGTGGATACTAATATGTATTCTAGCCTTGGGTTGGGGAGAAAGTGACTACTGATCCCTAAGATCAGGTTGAAGATACTTTATAAATGATATTAGTACTACTTTTAACTAAAAAGCCTAGTGCATTTCCAATCTAGAAGCCTCTACTAAATTTCACCTAAAACTGTACCTGCTTAAAAAAAAAGACAACAAATCTTTACATACACAAAAGAAAATTAAAGACAGATATACTGATAATTTTGCCTCCTTTGTGTATCCACCTCCTTTTAAAATACTTTCTACTACATTTTAGGCAATCAAGCTCAAATTGTGAAGACATAACAATTCTTTCATCTATACTAATGCAAATACAATGCTGAAGCAAATAATCCAAAGTCATTTACATATGCTTCTCATATGTATTTTGATAAATTTCACTAATTGAGATTGGGAAATATAATTTATTTTGGCACTGAAAAACTTCCATGTGTCCACATATATTTTGTTAAAGTAGCAGATAATTCATAGGACTAATAATTACTGGTGTACCCTGACTTTAAATAAAGATGATAATGGCTTCACTTTATATAAAAGGATTCATTGCTTAGAGGAATGTCATCACAGGGCTTGAACATAAAAACTCCTGAGTTAAAATGCCATTTAATAAATAAATTAATGACTGAATATCCATTCAATTTCTATATACTACAAAAGACTTTCTGAAAATTTCAATCAAAGTAATAATTAGTCTTAATAGGTGAAGTGATCATTAGTCGCTATTTAGCCTGTTTTTCCATTTCAAACTTCACTAATTAACCAATACTACTTAAAAGAAATCAATATTCATTTTAAAAAAATCTTACTTCATATCTTTCTTCATATCTAAAATTGGTTAAAATATTCATGTACGGCATCACCTTGTGACAAAAATAAGTAAATTTTTATACATAACTGAAATCCATTTTTGAGTATTGTGCTTTCTAATTGTTCTACAAATAAAGTTTGACAAACACGGAATCTTCGTATCTCTACGATGTAAGATTCATTTCTGAATCAGTTTTAAAGCAACCAAACACATATACTCACTCCAAAGGGCTCTGATTATCATAAAGAATAGTCTTATCACCAGGTATGGTGACCCACGCCTGAAATCCCAGCTGCTCAGGAGGCTGAGGCAGGAGATTCTTGAGTTCAAAGCCAGCCTTAGGAACTTAGTGAGGCCCTAAGCGACTTAGCAAGACCCTGTCTCTAAATAAAATATTTTAAAAAGGGCTGGGGATGTGTGGCTCAGTGGTTAAGCACCCCTGGGTTCAATCTCTAGTACCAAAAAAAAAAAAAAAAAAAGAATATGTCTTATCAAATAATTTCAGAACAGAAGTCATGTTTTCTATTATTAAACATAGAATTCTAATGCTGATAAACAAATAATCCCCTCCTTTACAAAATAGCACATGATCCCAAAACACATCTAACATAAATTTCTAAGCACAAACCAAATGTGTATATAAAGTTGTGTACCTACCTGGTACTAGGCCGTTTTTGCAGAGCTTTATCCAAGATAAGAGATGGAGCACTCCTTCTCCTTTCTGCTAGTGTTTTCATTTTCTGGTGAGGGGGAAAAAAAAAACAAAAATCAAAATGAAGGCCATATGGCTTGTAAGGGAAGTATTATTGAAACTATAACATCTAAAATAGGAGAGTTAAGTGTCAAAAAGTAGTGTAAGCAGTAAGTGGTTTTTGTGGTCAGAGAATAAAGAAGTTAAAGGTTGACTAGACTATCTTGGAAAAAGCACCATTATTACCATTAGTATTGTGTGTCTGCTACTATAACTAGAGACTGGGCATAGATTATCTCATTCATATCAAAAAATATCATTAGTTTAGCCTCTACTAACTCTACTTCATAGGTCCCTAATTAGGTTTCACAGAAAGAAAGGACTTGGAGAGGTCAAGTAAAGGGGAGGAAAACAGTTAAAACAAAAACATAGCAACCAATATTCTCAAATATGTAATAAACCTTTAATTTTTTAAAAATGTAAATATGTCCATATTTGGGAATTTCTTCTTCTAAACATTATTTTGTTACAACTTACAAAAGGAAAAAGAAAAAAAATTTCTTCCTTTTGGGAAATGTAAGATATTCTGGATGCTGTTTCCAGAGATCTAAAATTTGTGGTAAATGAGGTGTTATTCAAATTAAATTTTCTGGATTAATTACTTTAATCTTACAGTTTTACATATAGCCAGAAGGATCTGGTTCTAGAGATTGATAAGTAAGATTAACAATATAGTAACAAATAACAATAATTCTTCTAGTTATACCCTCTTGCACTATCCTATTAGACTCAGAGGTTTTACCCACTGCCCAAGGGCCCAGGCCAGCCATGCTTGAGAAGTGGATGGTGCTCTAACAGGAACCATTTAAAACTGATGGTGCATTGCATCCTATTACACAATTCATAGAGGAATAATTTCTTAAAAAGTAAAAAATAGGACCTAGATCCGAATGCAGGAATTGAAGAAAAATCATCCAGATAGAGATGCTGAATTTCTCTGACACAATTCTCATCCCACAAATTGACTACGCTCCCAGGGATCTGTCCCAAATTATTGCTGCCACTACTCTGGCCTTATTAGCAGTGTTTCCCTCATTAATCTTTTGGCTGACATGTGGAAACTATATTCTCAAATCTCCTTAGCAGATGAGACATCAGTTAAAGTAATTCTATAAAACATTAATAAAGGACAGGAAACAAATGAGTTAAGAAATACAGAATATTTAAACACCTCCATCAGGTGTTTTTAACCATGAATCAGTTTTAGACCGACAGATTACTTGTATAAAAGTGTTCTGCATGATTTATATTTGGCCTGCCTTAGAGAGAAACAGCCCACATTGCCATCAGATTCACAGAAGAGTCTAAATCTTCCCAACTTTAGTGATTTTAATAACCTAGTTTATATATTTTATCTTGCAAGCTCCACCTCACTGTTTCCATTAGTCATACCCCTTAGAAACAACCCTCAGGAATCTAAAGCCTTGAGGCTGCTGTGAGTTCAGAAGTTGCAAGGAGAAAGGAAACCTTAAGAGACAAGTATTTGTATTGCAATCTATAGCAGCCATCTCCCCAAAGAGCCTCAATATTGGAAATGAAGTGACATAATAATGGGGGCAGTTTGCTCATATGCATCAAGTTATGTTTTAGATCTTTTGCAGGATTCTATTGCTTAATTTGGGGTCCAAAGAGCCCTAACAAATCCATTTTATGGGTGTTTCTGAACTCTCTGAAGTTGTGTGTAAAACTTAATTCACAAATTCTCAAAGATCCAGTCCTCAAGGTCAACCTGGATTCTCATTCTACTGTTCTGACTCATTTGTTTTTGGCTTATCTTGGGCTTGAGCTTGATTCCTACTCCCTATCATGGTTCCTTTTATTCAGGACCTGTATTTTTCTTACTTCAAAAACTGAAATGTGCCCAATCCTGTTAATTTTACCTGAACCCCTGGCCCTATCTGCTTTGACCTAAAGGGTCTAAACTATCTTGTGGGGCTGTTCCAGGATCTATCTTTACAGCTTTATGTCTGCTTCCCCTAACCCTCTGACATTACTGTCACTAGATCCAAGATCCTAAACTAGATGTTCATTAGTACACGATTTCTAATTCTGAGGTTCTTAACATTCAGGTTTATAAAGAATTTGGAAAGGGTTCAAAAGAGCCTATAAAAAAATTAAAATGATCTGACATTTTTAATTTGGGAACAGTAATAATTTCTAAAATTAATGTAGCCCTATCTGTGGAGGAAAGTAAGTATTTTCCAATGTGAGACAAAAAGAAATGAAGCAAAATTGTAGAATGAGAATACAGGTTGACCTTGAAGACTGGATCTTTGAGAATCTGTGAACTAAGTTTTACACACAATTTTAGTGGGTTCAGAAATGCCTATAAAATGGATTTGTAAGGACCCTATGGTCTCCAAATTAAGCAACTTTCTGATTTAAGGATATATTTCATGGAGTGATGGCAGTTAAACATAGAAGAGATAATCAAAGAAAGGTGACAAATATTTCTCTTAAAGATACTATTAAAATAGGAATTTTTCACCATAAGCTAATGATCAATTGTGTACACAGTGATTAGTCTGAGTAATAAAACTGTCAGATACATAAATAGGGTCAAATACTAAGCGTGTCCACTCATTTAAACCGGATTCATAATGAAGAGAAAGCAATCAAAATATAGGCAAAATACGGTTTTTATTTGAGGTCCTACTATGTGTACTCAGACTTACCCTACCACTAATGAAATATGAAACCTAAGATGATTCAGCCATTTCTCCAAGCCTCTATTTCCTTGCCAAGAAAATTTGGTCTACAAATTCTATTTGTGATATTATCCTGTATATGCAAGAAAACAAATAATATGTGCACTAGGCATTTAGGATTTGCGGCCTTCATTTTGCTTATAAGCAATAAAAGAGCACCAAATAGAATGAAATTTAATCAGATTTACGTATTAATTCTTTCAAAATATATAAATCTCATTTGCTTGAACAGTAAAACAAAGGGATATGGGAACTTTGAAACAAATTCACTGATCTTCACTCAGAAAAAAACTTGGATTTTCTTCTTGTTTATAACAACTACATAAAATAAAATACATCAAGACACACTGAGACAGACTATTGATCCCTTTACAAATGTACAGTAGAACAAACTTATCAGGATAGGTTGAGGTTATGCTTATACTACCACCAACAAATTTCAGTTATTCTGTGACGATTAATTATGATTCATTGCCTCACAAGAAACAGAAGGTAAACTTTAAGCTGTGTTACCTTAAAAAATCATTATCCAGGGGCTGGGGTTATCAGTGGTAGAGCACTTGCCTAATACGTGTGAGGCACTGGGTTTGATTCTCAGCACTGCATAAACAAACAAACAAACAAATAAAGGTACTGTGTCTACCTACAACTAAGACTATTAGAAAAAAAATTATCTACTGTGTGACTTTATTCTTCAGAATTGCTAAGTGCTTGATATTTTTATCTAGATAAAATCAATAAATAGTAGATACTGTTCTGGAAGGAAATATTTGTAAAGGTAATCTTTTTTAAAAAATTGGTAAGCTACTCCAATTTTTTTTACAAGAGAGAAAACACTATTTTTGCAATCTCAAAAATAGATAAATGGGGCTGGGGATGTGGCTTAAGCGGTAGCGCGCTTGCCTGGCATTGCCGGGCACTGGGTTCCATCCTCAGCACCACATAAAAAATAAAATAAAGATGTTGTGTCTACCGAAAACTAAAAAATAAATATTAAAAAAATTTTCTCTCTAAAAAAAATAGATAAAGGTTTTTAGATCTTCAAGGTATAGAATTATATCGTCAGCAAAAAGTGCTAGTTTAAGTTCTTCTTTTCCTATAGTTATTCCTTTAATTTCTTTCTTATAATTGCTCTGGCCACTGTTTCCAGAACTATGTTGAATAGACGTGGTGAGAGAGGACATCCCTGTCTTGTTCCAGATTTTAGAGGGAATGCCTTCAGTTTTTCTCCGTTTTGAATGATGCTGGCTTGAGGCTTAGCATAGAAAGCTTTTACAATGTTGAGGTAAGTTCCTATTATCCCTAGTTTTTCTAGTGTTTTGAACATAAAGGGATGCTGTATTTTGTCAAATGCTTTTTCTGCATCTATCGAGATGATCATATGGTTCTTATCTTTAAGTTTATTGATGTGATGAATTACATTTATTGATTTCCTTATGTTGAACCAACCTTGCATCCCGGGGATGAATCCCACTTGATCATGGTGCACGATCTTTTTGATATGTTTTTGTATCCGATTTTCCAGAATTTTATTGAGGATTTTTACATCTATATTCATTAGAGATATTGGTCTGAAGTTTTCTTTCTTTGAGTTGTCTTTGTTTGGTTTTGGAATCAGGGTGATATTGGCCTCATAGAATGAATTTGGAAGTCCTCTACATAGGGAAGAGGAAAGGGAGGGAGAAATGGAATTGCATGGATGGTGGAACGAGACCCTCATTGTTATACAAAACACATGTATGAAGATGTGAGGAAAAAAAAAAGAATAGCATTACCCTAGATTAAGTTAAGAGAAGTGGAGGGAGGGGAGGGATGGGGTTGGGGAGATAGGAAGGATAGTAGAATGAAACAGACATTATTACTGTGTGTATATATGTGACTGCATGACCAATGTGATTCTGCAACCTATATACTCAGAAAAATGAGAAATTATATCCCATCTGATTCAAATTTATGATATGTCAAGATCACTGTACTGTCATGTGTAACTAAGTAAAACAAAAATAAATAAATAAAATAAAAGAAATATACTATTTCATTTATCTTTTGGAAATGATTTTCTTGATATCAAACTATTTACTAAGTGTTAAGCAGCCCCCAAAATAAATTTTATGTACACTAAAAAAACAAACACAAAGTACCAGATAACTAAGTGCAAAAGAATAAAGTTGGGAGAGAGGACCTGATTGTGCTGCAGATTCCAATCTATTAACATATGGCTCCCCCCAGACTGCCTCCATCTTGGGACACTACAGCCACTGCCATCGTCCTTTCCACATGG